TTTTTTTTTCTTTTAAAAATTGTAAGCATGCCCTTCCATTTGTAAAGAATGACACCCAAAATAGCCACAGCTGTCTCCCCCATGTTCTGAGAGAAGAAAAATGGTGCCTTTAAAACCACCACGTTTTGCTGACTTTTCTCCCACATTCACAGCGATCTCTGGGTGGTACGACTGTGGGTCATCCCCCTCTTCCTTTTTAACGCTTCTGTATTTTCATATTTTCTACAACGAGAATTTATTACCTTCATTAAGAGAAAAAGGAAGCAATCTTATTTGTTTTTTTCAAGGAAACATACGGATGAAATAAGCGGCTTCTCACAGGTTCAAAAGTCCTTTCTCTCTAAAGTACACGAGACCCAAACGTTGCCGCAGCCTGTCCCTCTGAACCTTTGCCTCCAGCACAAGGAACAAAGACCGACTTCATGTCCACATGCCTGACCCCCTCCCACGTGAGCACCTGGGTCAGCCAGGTGAGGCAGCGTCTGTCACAGCAGATGCCCCAGGGCAGATAGCGTCATTGTTCTCTGTGCTCTGAAATATGCCACCCCCTGCTCTGGTGTGTTCGGGGATATCACTCTATTTGTTCTCGTTTCTGCCTCCAGTTCAACCTGGTCACCAAGGAGGGGTGAGGGACAGGAGCCACTGAGCACCTGTCTCCGGCCTGGGCCGCTGGGGACGGCCCCTGCTCTGCTCCTGGCTGCCCCTGAGGCCTTCACGCCCCTGTCCCCTGGGAGCCCTGCTCCATCTGTCTGTCTCATCCCTTGTCTCTTCCTGCAGCTGCAGGCTCTTCCTGGCCACTGTCTTCCCTGCTGCTTTGCATAAATCTTGGGTCTCCCACAGCTCCAAGGAAAACGGTCTCCACTGAGGCTCAAGGCCCCTGAAGCCCCAGCTCTCCACTCCCCTCCACCCTCAACCTGTGGCCTCTGCCTGAGTCCCTCCAGCATTCCTTAGCGCCAGCTACACAGGAGTGCTGGACCTGCCCACCGCTGAACCAGATGTACGGATGTCTTTCCCACCCCCCACTTGCTCACCCCCGACCTGACCACGGAACCGCTCTAGGCACCTTCCTCCTTGGGTGCTCCTGCTCTAGGCCCTTGCCAGACTCGCTCCCGAACCTGGAGATTCTTCCTCGTTCCCACCCCCAGCCTTCTTTTTTTTTCTTTTAAAAATTGTAAGCATGCCCTTCCATTTGTAAAGAATGACACCCAAAATAGCCACAGCTGTCTCCCCCATGTTCTGAGAGAAGAAAAATGGTGCCTTTAAAACCACCACGTTTTGCTGACTTTTCTCCCACATTCACAGCGATCTCTGGGTGGTACGACTGTGGGTCATCCCCCTCTTCCTTTTTAACGCTTCTGTATTTTCATATTTTCTACAACGAGAATTTATTACCTTCATTAAGAGAAAAAGGAAGCAATCTTATTTGTTTTTTTCAAGGAAACATACGGATGAAATAAGCGGCTTCTCACAGGTTCAAAAGTCCTTTCTCTCTAAAGTACACGAGACCCAAACGTTGCTGCAGCCTGTCCCTCTGAACCTTTGCCTCCAGCACACGGAACAAAGACCGACTTCACGTCCACATGCCTGACCCCCTCCCACGTGAGCACCTGGGTCAGCCAGGTGAGGCAGCGTCTGTCACAGCAGATGCCCCAGGGCAGGTAGCGTCATTGTTCTCTGTGCTCTGAAATATGCCGCCCCCTGCTCTGGTGTGTTCCGGGATATCACTCTATTTGTTCTCCTTTCTGCCTCCAGTTCAACCTGGTCACCAAGGAGGCGTGAGGGACAGGAGCCACTGAGCACCTGTCTCCGGCCAGCTGAGAAGGGCCTCTCGGGCCTGGGCCGCTGGGGACGGCCCCTGCTCTGCTCCTGGCTGCCCCTGAGGCCTTCACGCCCCTGTACAGCGATCTCTGGGTGGTACGACTGTGGGTCATCCCCCTCTTCCTTTTTAACGCTTCTGTATTTTCATATTTTCTACAACGAGAATTTATTACCTTCATTAAGAGAAAAAGGAAGCAATCTTATTTGTTTTTTTCAAGGAAACATACGGATGAAATAAGCGGCTTCTCACAGGTTCAAAAGTCCTTTCTCTCTAAAGTACACGAGACCCAAACGTTGCCGCAGCCTGTCCCTCTGAACCTTTGCCTCCAGCACAAGGAACAAAGACCGACTTCATGTCCACATGCCTGACCCCCTCCCACGTGAGCACCTGGGTCAGCCAGGTGAGGCAGCGTCTGTCACAGCAGATGCCCCAGGGCAGATAGCGTCATTGTTCTCTGTGCTCTGAAATATGCCACCCCCTGCTCTGGTGTGTTCGGGGATATCACTCTATTTGTTCTCGTTTCTGCCTCCAGTTCAACCTGGTCACCAAGGAGGGGTGAGGGACAGGAGCCACTGAGCACCTGTCTCCGGCCTGGGCCGCTGGGGACGGCCCCTGCTCTGCTCCTGGCTGCCCCTGAGGCCTTCACGCCCCTGTCCCCTGGGAGCCCTGCTCCATCTGTCTGTCTCATCCCTTGTCTCTTCCTGCAGCTGCAGGCTCTTCCTGGCCACTGTCTTCCCTGCTGCTTTGCATAAATCTTGGGTCTCCCACAGCTCCAAGGAAAACGGTCTCCACTGAGGCTCAAGGCCCCTGAAGCCCCAGCTCTCCACTCCCCTCCACCCTCAACCTGTGGCCTCTGCCTGAGTCCCTCCAGCCAATTCCTTAGCCAGCTACACAGGAGTGCTGGACCTGCCCACCGCTGAACCAGATGTACGGATGTCTTTCCCACCCCCCACTTGCTCACCCCCGACCTGACCACGTAACCGCTCTAGGCACCTTCCTCCTTGGGTGCTCCTGCTCTAGGCCCTTGCCAGACTCGCTCCCGAACCTGGAGATTCTTCCTCGTTCCCACCCCCAGCCTTCATCTCTCCTTCGGTTCCACCCCTGATTTCAGCACTCAGATTGGCCTGGATGCCTTTCCAGCGTATAATCTAGCCCTAGTTCCTACTCTCAGGCCCAGTCCAGCGTTTCCACTCCCCTTCTTCTCGCCCTCCCTTCCTTACAAAGCTCAAAGTCTAGTGCGGGAGACTACCCACAAGTAACCATGATGGAAACTGGAAAATGCTACAATTTATAAAGTGCTGTGTACACAGGGCCTAAGCTAGTGGGCAGCATTTGAGGATGCTGTCTGGGGCTGGGGCCTGGAGAAGGACAGCAAAGCGTCTAGACCAGTGGTGGCGAACCTATGACACACGTGTCAGAGGTGACACGCGAACTCATTTTTTTGGTTGATGTTTCTTTGTTAAATGGCATTTAAGTATATAAAATAAATATAAATATAAGTCTTTGTTTTACTATGGTTGCAAATATCAAAAAATTTCTATATGTGACACGGCACCAGAGTTAAGTTAGGGTTTTTCAAAATGCTGACACGCCGAGCTCAAAAGGTTCGCCATCACTGGTCTAGGCTGAGCAGAGGGGCAAGAAGGCCACCCAGGTGGAGGGGGCAGAGGCAGAGCTGCCTGCAGGCCGGCCCGCAGGCAGGAGGCCAACTGAAAAGGGGCCCTCTGGCCTTCTCCCTGTCCACATGGGAAGCCTCCAGGGGTCACTCAGGGTCACATCTGGAGGCTGTGTGAGGAGTACCTCTGACTGGGGAACGAGGAGGGAGGCTGTGTCACAGTCCAGAGAGGTGACCAGGGATTGGATGCCCTGTTCCAGAACCACCCCTTCTTGTCCAACAAGGCCACGCCCAGACGCCACCTCCTCCATGCAGCCTGCTCCAGTTCCTCAGCAGGACATTCTCTCCCTCTCCTAATTCTTCTGTAACTCTCTGAGACCTCTGCCCCAGTGGTTGGTGCTAGACATGTCTGCTAGCTGACTTTCTACCCCACTGGTACATGCCTCTGGTCATTAGAACTTATTTAACAAATGCATGACACAGACTACACACCACGTCCTGTTATCAAGGCAGCCCATTTACGACATAATTTTACATGTTATTTATTGTCCAGACCCTGGCACACGAAAGGTAAGCTGGGTGGTTGTCTGTTTTACAGAAAGTCTACACTTCTCATTCCTGGTTATTAATCCCTCATTCAGAGTCCTCACGCTATCTTCCTGGACTTGTCTTTTTTCTTTTTTCAATCTTTATTGTTGACTAGGGGTCTAGTGGGCTGCAAGGCTGTAAGGCTGCAAGGTTGCGGTGGGCACAGGGGCGGGTCTCAGCCCATCCTCTGTACCCCCACTCGGCCCCTCCCACTGCAGCCCCTGGTCCCCTGTTGGCTGGCAGCTCCACTCCCAACGCCGCTGCTCCCACGCACTGATGGCGCCGGCCTGCTCACACCTGCTGACTGCCCGATCGCCCCTCAGGAGCAGGGGGAGGTGGAGAATCCCTCAGGGGCAACTGGGGCCTGCAGCTGCTGCTTGCACCCGCTGATGGCACCGAGCGACTGGGATTGGCGCCGAGCACTTGGGACCAGCACTGGGCGCTGGCAGAGGGTGTGAGCGGCGGCTCCGGTGCTGGCTGTGGGTGCGAGCAGGGCCAGCTCCGGCAGCAGGTGCGAGTGTCTGGCAGGACCAAGGCACATGAGAGCAAAGAATTTTCAGTAACCACCAGAGGCTCCCCCTGATGACAGCAACTGGCGCCTCACCTTGGTCTGGTGCCCCCGCTTATCTGGTCCACCATCCCACCATGGCAACACCCACCATGTTTCGCACCCTGCCATCTGCTGCTGACACCCGCCATGTTCCACGCACATCCCCTGGTGGTCAGCGCACGTCATAGCGAACAGTTGTTTGGTTATTCTGCCGTTTGGTCTATTTGCATGTTAGGGTTTTATATATATAGACTAGAGGCCCGGTGCACAAAAATTTGTGCACTCAGGGGGAGAGGGGGTCCCTCAGCCCGGCCTGT